ACTCCTAGATTCTGTTATCATGAAAGCCTTTCAGTGGGAAACATGCTGTTCGGAATTGCCCAACTCAGCAAGAAGCCCACAAATGACACAACTCCTGGTTGGAGAAATTATATGGAAATCTTAACAATAGACTTACGAATCTTACAACACCTAAGCCCGTGATTGCGAACCTATGGCACGTGTGCCACAGGTGGCACGCAGAGTCATATTGGTGGCCACGCAAGCGTTGCCCTAGTTCAGCTCCGGTGGGACTGTAAGTTGGGAAACCAGCTGTTTCCGGCCTCCGGGAGGGTGGAGGGTGGAGAAGGCTGTTTTGGCCTCCCCAGGTCCCTAGAAAGGCTCTGGAGCCTGGGGAGGGCAAAAAATGGGCCTACCGGGCCCACCATGCTATCGTGTACCAAAAGCGGGGGGAATGCGAGGAGGTCATGCGCGCATGCATGGGGGCGGGGCATATTGAATTATGGGTGTGGGCACGTGCACTCACAACTTCCCCCATGTTCCCCCCACTTTTGGCACACTACGGCAAAAAGGTTAGCTATCACTGACCTAAGCAATTGGAACAGATCTTTTGTTCTGGATTTTTTAAAATCTTACAAAAGCACTGTATATTTTTGTATTGCCCAAGTTTATGGTACTTCTAATGCACCAAGATTTTCTGCACTTGTTTTCAACTTGCTACAGCATTTTGCATATCTCTTTTTAGGTTTGTGTTCCCAAAATCATCTTTGGTCCATATTGATGGACCCAATGCTAGTTAGTAGACTGTATGTTTTATACATATGTGATCATCTAGCACATGATAGGAAATATCTCTCATAATAATACCAATCTAGGTAGTCCTTGACTTACAACAGTTCATTTAGTGATGGTTTGAAGTTACAACAGCCCTGAAAAAGTGACTTATGAGCATTTTTCACACTTACATCTCCATGGTCATGTGACCAAATTCAGATGCTTGGCAAATGACTCATATCCTTCTCACATTTTCTATTACCTACTCCTATTGGTATCTTATGACTATCACTTGTTGGTTGTATATTATTACTTATGCTTGTATCTTATGACTTATGATTTTTCATTTTGTTGCTTGTATGTATACTGAGAGCTTATGCACCAGAGGCAAATTTCTTGTATGTCCAATGAAACTTAGCCAATAAAGAATGTTCTGTTCTATTCTATTCTATTCTATTCTATTCCATTCCATTCCATTCCATTCCATTCCATTCCATTCCATTCCATTCCATTCCACTCCACTCCACTCCACTCCACTCCACTCCACGAAGCAAAGTCAATGGGAAAGAAAGATTTAGTTAACCATGTTACTGATGTAACAACTGTAGGGAATCACTTAACAGCTGTGGCAAAAAAGGTCACAGAATGGGGTAAAATTCACTTAACAATTGTCTTGCTTAGCAACAGAAATGTTGGGCTCAATTGTGGTCATAAATCAAGGACTACTGTAGTCTGATTTGTTAAAGCAGTCTCATAGCAAGCCTTCTTCCTTTTTCTGATTCAAGGTATCATGATAATGATTTCCCCAAATATTGAGTATATAGATAAGCAAATATATTTTGAAATATGAGACTAAGTCCCTTGGATCCAAAGCAGCTGGTTTTGTACATCGTGTTAATAAATAAACCATTGTATTTTTAATGATGGTTTACTGAATAACCCAACATAGTATTGAGATTTGCTCAGTAATAAACAAGGAAATCCCATTATAATGAAAAAGTCTGGACCCTAGTAGCAGGAGATTGATATAAATAAATTAAAAAAAAACATTATGGTAGGTACAAAAGTAGGAATTAATGTTAATACTTACATTAACGTAATTTAGTTCAATTTAAGGTTGCAAAATATTCTTATGAAATCAATCAAATCAAATCAATCAAATCAATCAAAAGCTTTATTGTCAATGCACAACATGTGTACAATGTAATTGAATGAGCTTCCTTGGTGCAGCCTCCCCCCTGAAACATACAATACATCTCAATAACTCAATAAATGAAAGAAATAGAATCCCTAGACCCAAATAAGTAATAACACACATTCCCATATACCTATATGTATGTAACATTATATTATATTACATTGCTAAGAATATGTTGCACGTTGCACTGGCCCTGCAAGTCTATCATATTAAATCTAATTGTGGTGTTATGTTGCATTCAGACATCTGACAGCCCACGGATAAAAGCTATTTTTCAGCCTGTTCATTCGGCTGGCTATGCTTCTATATCTCCTGCCTGATGGTAGGAGAGTAAAGAAGTGCTGACCAGGGTATGAATCATCCCTGAGGATTTTCCTCACTCTGTTGAGGCAGCGGGTCCTGGCGATTTCATCCAGTGGTGTCAGGGGACAGCCCATAATTTTTTGTGCTGTGCTCATCACCCTCTGTAATGCCTTTTTGTCCACGGCTGTCAAGCTAGCATATCATATCATAACACAATATGTAAGGACACTTTCTATTGTAGACTAGTAAAACAAAGTCATCAGCCGTTGTTCCACCTGATTTTTCTGCAAGACCCTAAGGAAATGGAGTCTCTGTTGAGCCTTCCTGACCACCTGGATCGTGTTATTTTTCCAGGTGAGATCTTGGCTAAGGTGGATTCCCAGAAATTTGAAAGAGGAGGCCATGTGGATAACTTCTGGACTTCTTCTCTGTATGCTAATTCATCTCCTCCTGTAATAAGACCCAGTACAGTGATATCATCTGCAAACTTTATTATCACGTTAGATGGATCAGAAGATATGCAGTCCTATGTGTACGAGTACAGGAAGGGACTGAGCACACAGCCCTGAGGAGAGCCAATGCTGAGCTTCAGGGAGGAGGATGTGAAAGACCCAGCTCTCACTGTTTGTGACCGGTCCGTCAGAAAGTCTTTAATCCAATCACAGGTGAGAGAAAGGAAATTCAAGTCAGTCAACTTTTCGATGAGGATGTCCAGCAATATGGTGTTAAAAGCTGAGTTGTAATCTATGAAAAGCATTCTGATGTAGTTCCCAGGTTTCTCTAGATAACTCACTACAGAATTAAGGGCAGTAGCAATGGCATCGCCTGTCGACCTATTTCCTCTGTAGGTGAACTGATATTGGTCAAAGTTTGATGGAAGGCATGACCTGAGGTGTTGAAGAACCAGTCTCTTGAGGCACTTCGTCACTACAGATATTAGTGCAATGGGTCATTCAGGCTGTTTATTGCTGTTTTCTTCGGGACTGAAATGAATACTGGCCGTTTGCAGGGACATGTTAAAAATCCTTGTTAGGACCTCTGATAGTTGGTCAGCAAAGGTTTTTACCACTATCCCCAGCACCCCATCTGGACCTGCAGCTTTATGGGAATTCATGGCCTTCAATACAGCTCTCATTTGGAGTTCATACAAGGTGAGTGGCTGGGAGTTGGAGGGCCGGCAGGCTAGGGCTACAGGGTCAGGTCTCTTGACCTCGTAGCGGGCAAAGGTGTTCAACTCCTCTACCAATGAGGCATTGGAGTTGACTGTCTTCATCGTATTGGCCTTATAGTTGATTAGGTGCTGCAATCCTTGCTACACCTGCCTCAGTTGTTGTCTGCTAGATGGTTCTTCACCTTTTGTTTATATTTTTGTTTAGCTACCTTGATGTCTCTCCATAGATTTGCCCTGGCCTCATTGTATTTATCTCTGTCACCTGTCTTAAAGGCGGAATTCCGGGCTCTCAGAAGTGTCCGTACCTCTGCTAACAGCCAGGATTTGCAATTCCCGAAGACTTTGATGCACTTGTCCACTGTTACATTATGTGTGCACATTTTGATATATGAGAGTACGGTGTCAGTAAATTCTTGCAGCTCCAAATGTTCAAAAATACTCCACTCAGTAGTCTCAAAGCAATCTTGCAACTGGCAGAGTGCTCCCCCTGGTCAGTTTTCCTGACAGTTTTCCTAAGGGGGATATACTTTGGGCATAGTAGCAGAGAGATGTGGTCAGACATACCCAGATGGGAGAGGGTGATTGCTCTATATGCCTGTCTTAAGTTTGAATACATATGGTCTAAAGTGTTCTTATCTCTGATGGTACAATGCACATATTGCACAAACTTAGGAAGAACAGACTGTAGACAGGCTTGATTAAAATCCCCAGCCATGACAAAAGCTCTCTCAGGGTAAGTTTGCTACTGCCTCTTGATGGTGTCATGTGACTTAGAGAGCGCTGTGCTAACATTCGCATCAGGTGGAATATAGACAATGGTGATACCAATAACGGAAATCTCGCTAGCTAAATAAAATGGCCGACAATCGTGTAACTTCTGGGCAGGAAAACATGAACAATATAAGATGAATTACAATGTATAAGTATTAGTTATTATGATCATTGCACATATCTATGCATAAGTCATGCCAAACCAAGAAAAAGAATGCCAGAAGTGTCACTGCATTTCATACTAAACCTTATGTGTCAATATAGATCTCTTTAAAATCTTGTGCTTGGATAAGAATGAGAAAGTGGCAGGATGCCACAACCAAGCATCGCACAATGGAAAAGAATGAAAGGCATTATCATTTGACCTAATCTCATGATCTATAAGGTCTCAAGTCCTGAATTGACATTACACCAAGAAATACATTTATGGTCATAATCAAAAGTGAAGTAAGAGTTCATCAGGGGTGAGGAAGTATAGAAAAATGTCAAGATGGTAGATATAGAGAACTCTCAAAGGAGTAGAGCTTTGATCCTGATTGAACCATAACTATCAACTTTGCGTGTTTTTTTTACTGTGGATTCTGTTGAATGAGCCAAGTCTTGGCTCAAAAACTTAAAAACATTAAACATTAAATAGTTATAACATTAAACATATATCTGAACCTAAGGGTAACTTTTTAAAACAAAAATGTATTTAGAATATAAAACTAAGAATACTGGGGGGGAAAACAATTCAAAGAAAGGATGGATTTTTTTTTTAATGCCATGGGCATTCAGAAGTCCTGCAGTTCTCCTTGATTATCATATTGAAAGAAAAGCACTTACCTCCAGGTTGCAAGTTACGGTTGCAATTTGAATTGTATTCTACATCAAATTCCAGAATAATCAGTTGAATGCTACTACCTAATGCTGTGTGAATATATCAATAACATTCCCTGTTTTGTGGGTTCCTATTTGGATAGCCAGGGCTATCCAAATATTAAGACCCAGATGTCTCAAAAAATTCTCCACCACACCCTGGAAAAACAAACAAACAGGCAGCACTGTTTAGAAAACTAGAGAATGATGATGATGATGATGATGATGATGATGATGATGACTATTCATTCCAGCACACTCCAGACCCACAAAAGTAATGAAAACAATTAAAAATATAAAACAACACAGGCACCCTAACAAAGCAAATTTAAAGCATCAAATGCACACTCTTGTACACATAACAGTTTTACAATAAATTTCCTTTCATATAGCCCTATTGATCACTTCTTTTAAATCTAGTTCTACTACCACTTTTTAAAAACAGAATTCTAGCATTTTGCTATTTCATAACTTCACATTCCAGTCACATGGGATAGAAGGATTTAACTCCCTTCTCCAAAATCTTTCATATGTACGTTTGAAGGTGAAATCCTGTCTCCGATGACTGGAAAACCAATGAGTTGATGCATCACTGGATTATACAAAAAAAAAAAAAAACATACACAGGAAAAAATAGTCCAGGAAAAGAAAAATAGAAATAATAAAATTCTGCTGGGTTTCAGACTAGCAAACTTCTATTTATAGGGCAAGTATTGCAAGTATTGCTATTACAACATTCAAAATGAAGATAGCTCCAAAATATTTTAGAGGCCATGCTTACAAAATAGCCAGTGAACTGCAATAAACCAAAGCACACTATCTGAAATATGCAGGAGTGCTTAAGGCAACCTAATATTGAAAGATATAATTTGAAGTGGAGCAGAAAAAACAATGGCTACCAACCTGCCTTCCGTTGTGGACCTGTATACTGCACAAGTCAAAGAGAGAGCTGTGAAAATATTTACAGACCTCTCGCATATTGGACATAAACTGTTTCAACTCCTACCCTCAAAACGACGCTATAGAGAACTGCACACCAGAACAACTAGATGCAAAAACAGTTTTTTCCCAAACGCCATCACTCTGCTAAACAAATAATTCTAGCAACACTGTCAAACCATTTACTAAGTCTGCACTACTATTAATCTTCTCATTATTCCCATCACCCATCTCCTTCCACTTATGACTGTATGACTGTAACTTTGTTGCTTGTATCCTTAAGATCTATTTTGATATTGTTTCCTGATTGCTTATTTGTACCCTATGACTATCATTAAATGTGGTACCTTATGATTCTTGATGAACGTATCTTTTCTTTTACGTACACTGAGTGCATATGCACCAAGACAAATTCCTTGTGTGTCCAATCACACTTGGCCAATAAAAAACTTCTATTCTATTCCATTTTAAAATGGACCCAGTGGTCATTCTAAATAACAGATGATGTTGCCAACCCAGAATGCTGAGAGAGCAAATAAGCAGTGCTATGTTTCATACCTGATCATAGCATAAGGAGGACATGCTGGGTCTAATTTGATTATTGATTGACAAACAGATAATAGATTGCATTGCTGCAATACTGTATTATACTATTATTTTTTTAGCTTTCTGAATTAATTCTAATCCATTTATATTTCTTAGCTACCCACGTTCCTGGTGTTTTACTTACTTAGAGTTATACTACTAACACTGTAGATGTTTTATTTGCTTTGGAAGATTATGAGTAGAAAAACAACTCAGAGATAACTGAAAATTTAAAGCAAACATTCAATAGGTAGAACTTCATTCTACAAGTTTCATCATGGGTATGTGATTGAAATACTGACTCAAAAAAGAAATGTTCACATCAAAATGGAAAGTCTGTTATGTGAGAATATATGGTGTCACTACATAGGCAGCCCTATCTAGGGATGGAGTAGGGGTGAAATCCAGCAGGTTCTGACAGGTTCTGGAGAACCGGTAGTGGAAATTTTAAGTAGTTTGCAGAACTGGCAAATACCACCTCTGGCTGGCCCCAGAATGGAGTGGGAATGGAGATTTTAAAAATGCTTCCCCTAGGAGTGGGGAGGGAATAGGGATTTTACAGTATCCTTCCCCTGGAGTGGGGTGGGACTGGAGATATTGCAGTATCCTTCCCCTGATACGCCCACCAAGCCACACCACACCTACCAAGCCACGCCCATAGAACTGGTAGTAAAAAAAGATTGGATTTCACCACTGGGATGGAGGCACCACTTCAGTGACCTAATGAGTCATGAACAAGTGTGTTATGGCAAGGTTGCTAACAAATATTCATCCATTTCATCCATTTACAAATCTTTCTATAAATTTTTCTTTTCCTAGAATAAAACCTTTCTAGTTTTCCTATATTACCTTTCTTTATCTAGAAATTTTGTTGTCTCTTGGTATCTTAGCTTTCTGCTATTAAAACCATTTTGAAAAAAAAAACCCTAAAAAATCCAATGTATTCATTTAACAAAAGCACATGAGTTTCTTTACTTTACTATATTTTCAGTGAGTCGTTATTAATGCCAGTCTCCTGCTTTTTACATAAGGAGGAAAATTAGTCATATCTGTAATTTGACTGTATTTATTTCAAAGATGGTCTCTTGAGAGACAAACTCCTTTTTCCTCCTATTCAAATGTTTAAATAAATGTTTGAGATCCATGCTCTGCTAACATGTCCAAATCTGATTCATTAAGCCGGCATGAATAATTGACTCAGTCTGGAAAAATATGGAGAAGAGTTCCTAGGAGGACATGACTTCTTCCCTATTTTGGATGAATAGGAGCAGAATGAAAGCTTCTCCCAATATATGAAACCCAATGACTTAGTTATGTCATTTTCACAATATACAGCTGTTCTTCAAGAAATATGCATGGTTTATGCTAATCCATGCCTGGACTCCAGTCCACATTTTATAACAGCCTTTTCCAGGATAACATTCTCCAGATATGTGCAATTAGAATTCCTATCTTCCCCAGTCAGAGTTACCCATCCTGACTAGGAGATGATGAGGAACTGTAGAACACCATATATCTGGAATCAGTTTGGGGCAGCTCACTTATGCTAACAATGTATAAATTTATTTAAGCATTTTTCCTCCCAATTACAACCTTTTTGTTTTATTTTTAGATTTTTTAAAATCCTGTCTTAATGGCAAGCATACCTACTAATACCTCCTCCTTTTATTTTCCCCACAACAACAAACCTTTGAGGCAAGTTGGGCTGAGAGAGACTGGCCCATCCAGCTGACTTTTATGCCTAAAGTGGAACTAGAATTCAGCCTCCTGGTTTCTAGGCTTAGCCTTAACTTCTACATCCAACTGGCTCTGTTAGTGTTTTATAGACTAGACTAGACTAGACTTTTATTGACCAAGTATGATTGGACACACAAGAGGAATTTGTCTTGGTGCATATGCTCTCGGAGTACATAAAAGAAAAGATACGTTCATCAAGAATCATAAGGTACAACACTTAATGATAGTCATAAGGTACAAATAAGCAATCAGGAAACAATATCAATATAAATCGTAAGGATACAAGCAACAAAGTTACAGTCATACAGTCATAAGTTGAAGGAGATGGGTGATGGGAACAATAAGAAGATTAATAGTAGTGCAGACTTAGTGACTAGCCTGACAGTGTTGAGGGAATTATTTGTTTAGCAGAGTGATGGCATTCGGAAAAAAACTGTTCTTGCATCTAGTTGCTCTGGTGTACAGTGCTCTATAGCATCGTTTTGAGGGTAGGAGTTGAAACAACTCCGGATGTGCAGGGTCTGTAAATATCTTCTTTGTTATCTTCTTTACATTCATGCTGTATTGGTCCTAGAGTTTGTGTTTGTTTGTTTGTTTGTTTGTTTATTAGATTTATATGCCGCCCTATCTCCAGCCGGACTCAGGGCGGCTCATAACAGTTAAGAAACATCTAATAAAAAGTGTCAGATGTAAATGCCTTATTCTCTAATGTGTAAATAATGTATATATGGGGTATCAGGGGTTAACTTATTCTTTGTTTCTTAATGTATTCATAATTCACCACTCCTACTCTTGGCTCCACCCTTTGTATATATAAGGAGCCACCTTCGCCATTTTTCCTTGCTTCTATCTGTGAATATTCAGTGAATATAGAATGCCTACTATAATTAAAGAGAAATATATTTGAACCTCTAACTCTCATTATTATTATTGAGTCTGATCCTAAAAATATTGCAACAAACTGGTAGCAGAGGATGGTTAATTGACTCAATAAATAACTAAAAATGTCTAAGAAAGATAGGCCCAACACCAGGGCCTACAGCAAAGAAATAGAAACTGAACAAGAAATAATCAACGAATCCACAAACGCGATTTCGAGAGAATCCGAAGAATACACCACTGGAGAAGAAGAACTAATAAATGAAAATGATGACCAGGAGGAAATCGAAATAGAAATAACGAACTCAGGTCAGAGATACTGAAGCTTTTAAAAAGCCAGAAGAATGATGAAAGCCTCATCGCGAACCTCCAAGAAATGCTGAAGAACAGCGGAGCAGCGAGAGAGAAAAACATCGCTAAAGAGAAACCCAAAGACCAAAAAACTGTGAGTGATATACTACAGAGAAAGTCGTTATGAAAAAGAAAAGATGTGATCCCGCGTGAAATTTTGAATGGCAGCCATCTTGGTTTCAACAAGCCCCCAAAGTGAGCGAAGCAGAGCCAATCAAAATGCTCAGTTCAAAATTTCTGGCGCGAAAAACGTTATCAGACAACGAAAGTGAAAAGGAGGATTCAAACTCTTCGGAAGAGCCAGAATCAGAAAATGAAAACGACTTAACGAAATCCCAAGTAAAGTCAGCAATGAAGACGCTTTTTGCTGCATTCGGGCCAAAATTAAAAATTTCCAAAGCGCCAACGAAGAAGCAAGCGAACAAGCCGATACTTCAAGACCTGCACGCTCCCATCCTGACTTCGAGAACGACGACGCCCGAGCCCAGAGAGCCATGTCGATTCCGCCCTACACCGCAGACCGAAGCAAGTGCCAACGCACCCAAAAGAAAGAGAAGAACAGTCACCGCCATCAGAACTCCTAAGACCGAGCCAGAGACCGACTCGTCTGAAGAGGAAC